GAGAAAGAACGAGCAGGGAAAAAACTGCCTGCCAAAAAAAAAAAAAAAAAGAGTCTGGCTTTGTCAGTAAAGAAAGGACAATAATATTTACAGAAAATTTTCTATACTCAAGCTTCAAAAAAGTAGAATTTGGACTCAATATGCAGCAAAATGGTTGAAGCAATCTATGGCTAAAAGGGCAAACCTTGGAAAGGAGAACTGTGACATGAGAGGAAAGACTCTTTCTCTTCTTGAAGGGAAGTGATGATATGTGATCGTGCAAATGCAAATGTCTGCGGACAGCACTGTTTGCTTGTGGGAAGAGAATTTTAATGTGTACCCTATGCAAATGCGTTTTATAATAAAACAGAATGTGCAAGGCCTTCTGAGGGCGGGGAGGGAAGCGGCAGCTCCAGACGCCGCACTTGAGAGTGGCGGGGACGCAGCCAGAAGCGTGTGCCACTCGCAACCCTGAACAGACTCCAGCAGAGAGGGCACGTCAAAACCCCACTCCTTAAAAAAAAAATCTCTCTTACGTTCCACCGAGAACTGGATGCCTAATGAATTAACACCTGCAAGATCTTTCTTTACCCAGTGCTTAACCTTGAACAACTCTGTGCTTAGAGTGAACCTCAGGAAGAAGACATTAAAAAAAACAACTCTTTTCTGTACTGAGTCATGGGGAAAATGGTAGGAACTGCACAGTAAAGACTAGAGATGACTATAAAGAAAGCTCCTGAAAACCATTTAGAGTCTTTGTGTCAAAATTAGCATGAATGTCAAAGCCCATGTAAGGCCTGGTCGGAAGCATTTGTGAAAGGGAGCAGGAGGCCATCACAGTGGTGACAGAGTCTGGTTTTGACCAAGTACTATTTATTGATATCTGTGTATCTGAAGCAGTTATTAAAAAGAAATTGGGGGAAAGTCTGCATCCCTACACTGGAGATATTTAAGCAAGCCATTTTGAAAGTGTTAAAAATTAAAATTGTAGAAAGCCGAACCATAGGTGCCATGTTTTGCCTGAAGTGGTAAAAATACCATCTGCCTCAGTCTTTTTAGCAGCAGGCTTATTTCGAGTAGCAGTAGGCTAAGCTGCAGGCATACGCTCAGCTCCAGCTGGGGAAAATACACAGACGTTTGTAGATGTTTTTCTAAGCAAGAGTAGTCAACATATTCGTTTTCTTTCAGACATATATATGTTACCATAGCAAACCAAGCATCAATGTGGTCCGAGAAGCTTCTCCACCAGTCCCAACCCGTACCCATAAATTCCTACAATTCAATAGGTGGCACTCTTCCCTCTAGCACTGCACCAAATCAGCTGCACTTAACTGTGGGGCCAGAAGCCTGGGGAACGTGGAATAGTCTTGAGAAATACACACTCAGGGTTGCAGACCAACCACTGTAATTAGGATCCACACAGCATTGCATATAGGGGCTTAACTGTTAGCACTGGCTTTTTGGGTCATGGTTCACTTCTGGTAATTATATTCTGTCTAATAAGACTTCTCCTGAAGTTTTAACTAGGTAAGTAAGACGTTCTTGTTTTTCTATTTTAGAAGCTACTGGGTACCATCGCCTTTTGGTTACTCAGCTCCCAGCCTTGCCCAGACCCCAGGTGGATGAGTTCCAGCAGCAGGAAGGGCACTCCCATGACTGTCTTAACCACCGTACAGAGGCAGAAGAGACAAAATGAATTAATGGTTGTCAAGTGCTTTGATATCTTAAGATGAAAGGCATTGTAGTACCGTGAAGCATTCATATCCAGACTCTATCGCAACAGGAACTCAATTAAAAAGTAATTCAATTTCTCATCTGAGGGTTTGAGTACAGACCACTGTTTTGCTGAATGTGACAGTCTCAATATCCAGCTGAAACTGATTTTGAAATGATCACCTCTTCCTTTGATTCCTCGCCATTCTGAGACTGACAAAATTTGAGAGCTGGCCTATACGGCCACAAAAGCACAGAGCCAAAATAATCTCCTATGGTCCTCAAAACCTGACTTTTCAGATAAAATTTGGCTTTTGGGTAAATACTCACCACTTGGAAATAACAAAATTTCCAGCAACAAACACATTTCATGATGGTCTCCAAAAATGGCTCCTGAGTTTTTCAAATGTAGAGTTACAGATAAACCCAAGGGCAGACCTAAGCTGCTAAGCATCAGTCAGCATGAGCACCATGCCCATGCAAAACAGAGATGCCTAGACCGTGGGTCATGACATGTGTTACTAAGGGCCCGTGGTACACTGTGTATGAGACAATATCACAAGCTACACCCTGCAGATATCTGCCCCATACCTGCTAGAGATGGACATAACCTTTTTTTCCCATGTCACTTGTGTTTAGGTCTGTGGAAGGATGATAAGCCTAGATGAATTGCTTAGATCAAGCTATGGCCCTTAAGTGTCAGAACCGCACCACATATTCCCGAGGGGTGGGGTTCTGTTTACTGGCATAAGAAATATGATCACTACACACTTGTGAAGGCGACCATAGGACTACTGAACATTGAGAGGGACTATGTGACATAGTCAATATATTCTTTTTTTTCTTTTTTAAATGTTTTTAAAAATTTATTTGGTGGGGGAGAGAGGGAGAGAATCCCAAGCAGGTTCCGCACTGTCACTGCAGAGCCCGACATGTGCCTCGATCTCACGAACTGTGAGATCACGACCTCAGCCAAAATCAAGAGTTGAATGCTTAACTGACTAAGCCACCCAGGTGCCCCTGTAGTCAATATATTCTTAAAATGGCTCCGTGAAGTCTACAATCCTCAATTCCAGACCTCCCAGAACCTCCTGCACTTCTAGAATAATACTAATGCAACTCATATGCATACATTTGACAAGTCCTCCTGTACATAAAGCCTGTGCTGGGTACAAATGATGCGACCATGAATAATGCACCTTCAGAGCTCTTACATTCCAATGGAAGAAAAAAACCAGAAGCAAGAAACTAAATGAAAATAATAATTTTAGATTATGATAAATGTTAAGAAGGAAAAATAGAGCAAAGGGGGAGGGGCTACTTTGGATAGGGAGGTCTGAGTCAAGGAAGCATGTGATGGCACAGCCTACATCAGCCTTGTTCATGGTGGCAGTCAGCACTAACACAGTGCTTTGCACATATTAAATATCCAATAACTGGTGGTTGAGTGGATAAAGTAGATGAAGGAATGAATGTGGACCTCAGGTATATAAGAATGCCCCCCACTGCCCAAGAAGAATATTTTCTCTCAAATTTGGAATTGGCCTAAAGAATAAACCAGCACTATTCTAAAACTGCTCGCTTTATACAAAGGAAAGTGAAGAAAGACCAGAGAGGTTAAGGGTCTTGGATTTTGCAGTGAGTTGGTGGCTGAGCCACCGCTGGGTCCAGGAGTGTCCTTCTATCCATGCACTGTATTTTTTCCTTTTTTCTAAGCTCTTCAATTGTCATGTGCTTCTGCAATAAGAAACCCTGAAGGAGTTCTAGGAGTCAAAAATAAGCATCAAGGATCAACAGTTATTCTATTGCTAAATCGTGTTGACTTTTCCCTTACGTTTTTGTTCATAAGTTAGCTTTCCTTTACCCTAACACAGTGAAATCCCAGCCTTTATCTCCAAGCTAGTTTATTACAACCTTCCCAAACAATCTTTTTAACTCTGTTGATACCTGTAACATTTGTCAAAAGCATCTTTTCTCTCTGATTGATATAAGAAAACCTATACCAGATTTTCTCCTGCAATGGACTTCTTATGTCTTCTATTTTCTTACTCACGGCTTCACTCGCTCATTCACTTACCCATTTACCTCCTCCCTACCTCCTTCAGCACTATTTACCATGTGCCAAGCACTGTGTTAAGCACCAAGTATATAAAGACAAATATGACACTGTCCCTGCCCTCCAAGAGCTCACAGTCTATGGTCTGCCTCATAAATGGGTCATTATAATATTACAGAGTAAGTACAATGACTGAGAGATGTACCGTGTATTAAAGCACGAAGGAAAGCAATAGTTTGTGAGACAGAGAAAAGAAGGGACTACATCTCAGTTAAGGCAAAGAGGGGACAGGCGTGGAGCCATGGGTGTGCACCTCAGGGCCGCCAGGAGAGCACAAGGTTCTGGATCGGCCCTGAAAGAGCACCATGGGTTTCAGCTGTCCCACTGCAAGCAGAGCCCTTACACCTCATATTTCTTCCTCCTTGTCTTTGGGGTGCAGGTGTGCTCACACCCTGGATATTCCTGATGGTGGCATAAGCCAGATGGTTAGCATGTTTCTTTAGCCAAGCAGCTGTATGCATCCCACACACCTGCTAAAACGTTCCATTTGTCCCTGAGGGGAAAACCAAGTGTGACCCAAATGTGTTCAGAGGCTTCCACTGGTGCACTGAAATCTGAACTCCCACAGCACTTTTTAAACAAGGCTATGTATCAGAATGATCTCGGAGCCTTTTTCCAAATACTTCCGTCCTGACCCTGCCCTGCTCTCCCCACCAGGGGCTTTTGATCTTGGTGAAAGAGGGTGTGATGCTGTGGTAACCTAGGCATATGTGTTTTCAAAAGCTCCACAGATGATGTGAAAACTACTACCTTTAGGAGTCTGAGTCTGCTGTGTATGGTGCCTCTCAGGTATTATCTGATGGTGCTAAAAGCTGTTTTGCATCCAGAGGCCAAAGGCATCTTTCTAGCAACGGTTAGTTATCTTATCCAGTATATTTTTCTTCCTAGTACTTACCACCACATGACATTATACTATGTATCCATTTAGTTGTTGCCTCCCACACTGCATTGTATATGTCTCAAAAGGAAAACACTTCATTTGGCTCACTGTTATAGTCTCAACACTTAACACAATGTCTGGAGTGAAGTAGTCACTCAATAAATACACTTACCTGCTAATATCTATTACCTAACAGGGAATGTCCCTCAGCTCCGAATGTGATGATTCTTTTTTGACCTTTTGATTATAAACAAAAGCCAAACACCAGATTGAAATGTAGAAAACTGTGTAGTATGTATAAAATCTACTTACCTTAGCATAGTCTAATCTTCCCTTCTCTTGAGCCTGAAGTAGAAAGAGGGGGAAATTAATTTGTTAGTTCTTTAAAAATTAGGTAGTGCTTTTAAAACTTACTTCTCCAAGAATAAAAGCCAACTCTCTCTCCCTTGGTCCCCCATCATTTATCTTTCTATGTATCTACATAGTTGTATCTCTATGCAACTATACATGTATAACACTTTCAAGCATATTGAAAAGTTGAAAGAACTGCACAGTGAGCACATATATACACTCTATCTAGACAGGACAGTAGCAGACATCATGACTCTTCACCTCGCCATGTTTCAGCACACAAGTCTTATAAGCATAGGGTGTCTTGTACATAACCACATGACTACTATCACATTTTATTTTTTTTTTAACGTTTATTTATTTATTTATTTATTTAATTTTTTTTTTTTTAACGTTTATTTATTTTTGAGGGACAGGGAGGGGCAGACAGACAGTGGGACAGAGGATCCGAAGCAGGCTCTATGCTGACAGCAGAGAGCCTGATGTGAGGCTCGAACTCATGAACTGTGAGATCATGACCTGAGCTGAAGTTGGACACTTAACCGACTGAGCCACCCATGCGCCCTTGTTATCACATTTTAAAAACAATTCCATATTATCTAACATACAATCCATATTCAAAATTTTCCTATTGTCCCAAGAATATCTTTATAGCTTTCTCCACCCAACCAAAATTAAACAAGATTCACACATTACATATGGTTTCTACATCTCTGGTTAGCCTTTTAAATCTAGACTAGACCCTCCCCATATTTTAAGAAATGAAAAGAAAAACCATTAACTTTTTTTCCATGCATATCATTGACTTTTTGAAGAGACCAGGGCAGCTGTCTTATAAAATGTCTTTTTGGATTTGTCATATTGTTTCTTCGATGTGTCATTTAATTTGTCCCTGTTTTGCTCTCAAACTGAAAGTTGGGTCTGAAAAAGCTTGCTTAAACATTTCTGGCAAGAGCACTTTATATAGGAAATTACGTACTTAATATTGCATCAATTCAGGAGGCACAAAATGTCAGGCTGTCCCACTCATAATAATGCTATAAATTTGATCACTTGGTTGAGGTGGTGACTATCAGATGGTTCCACCGTAACGACATGTTTCCTCCCGTATAATCAGTCTGTAATCTGTGGGGTCAGTTTCTCCTCCACTTCCTTTGGCATAACTTTTTATCATGTTGTATTATGTTGAAAGATCCCCAGCTCGACCTCCCACCCCATCAGGGATGAGGACAGAGAAAAAGGTGGAGTTGAAAAATATATCCTATATGGGGTTGTACTTAAAAAATATTTTTAGTTATAAAAAATTTAAAGTGAATACATACACTACTCAAATGTGTCATGTATAAAATCCTAACATGACAGAGATAACCAATGTTATTAACCTTTGTCGATATGCCAACTCAGTTTTTGTAGACTTCATTACAAACTTCTCTCACCACCTCTGCACAGAATGAGAATCCTTCAATTTGCAAATAGGTTAGGTCCTGAGTCCAAAATGACACTATACAGATAATGAAGGTGGGCAGATTACTTTAATGAGATTAAAGAAGATTTATAACATTGGCCCTGATTCTTCTTGCTTCTTTACAGTCCTTTAAAAAAATGTATGCAAAGATGCTTGCATTTTGTTTTTCTTATTTTCATAATAAGCAACTTAGAAGAAGACACTGCTCATGTATAGCTTTTGGCCCCATCACAAACCACTGTAAGTGAAAATGGGGACTTGAATGTTTTCTATGACACTAAAGGCCCCTGCAATCAATGTACTATGAAGAAGAATTTGGGGTTTTCAATCTGTTCTTGAAATTTTTTAGGGATGAACTAAGTAGAGTCAGAATGTAGTCCTGAGATACATTAGATCATAAGGAATAGGAGTCAGTTCTTGCAGAAATTTAGAAACTAGGTTTCTTCTTTCTGCTCAGACATTTTACATTTACTTGTGTTTCCATGGACATATTCTCCCCAAATGTTTTGCCTATGTTGAAAATCCCTCTTTCTCCACCGTAACATGTACGGTTTACAGAGAACCCTTGAGCACGTCTGTCCAGGGCACTCATGACCCAGCTACTAAATTTTGTTACTGCACAAATATCAACCGGCCTTGATCCAAGGAACAATCCATAGCTTGTGACCACAATTTCAGCAGCAGCATTTCACAGTTTTGCTTAGTCTTTAAGTTCTCAAACTTCCAGCTGTCCCTTGAATTCATTTTAGGTTAAGAGATCTCTGACACTGAGGCTGATCCTATGGTCACATGCTTTCCACCTTTTCAATTGTTCACCCTTTTTCATGCCTCTTGCTGATTAGTATAGATGGCTCAAGTACGGTACTTTTCAAATGATGCACAAACTGTGGGAGCTCCACAGAATTGTTCCTCTTGTCAAACAACCCATTCCTGCAACAAATTTACCATTTTCTCACTACTTTCAGTTGTGTTCCTATTCCAACCGGCTCATCATTCTGTGTCTTTCAATATTCTTATCTTTCAGCGTTTCACAAAAAGAGTATGTTACAAGTGTTAAAAGTGGTATTTGTTGGAAGTTAGGAAGCTGAGGAGCTTCTGTATCTTGAGATTGCAAGGTAAAGTGCAGAGAAATGATACAATTTACGATGACTTAGGGTGGACTTTTCCTTTTGAAAGTAGTGAGCCACTTTTCAGTTTGTCTCATTAAAAAAAAAAAAAAAGAAAGAAAAATCAACAGCCATTTCCCTATGTAGGAAGAGTGACCATAACGCTGGTTACAGATAACATTATAGTGATCCTATCAGAAATTTCTGTACAACCATTTTTCTCATACTTTGATTATAAACTATCTTAGAGAATTCTATTATTTTGAAGTCCTTGGGCTTTATCAATCACAAGTTACCTTCCAACTCTGTCATTTCATGGTGTATTCCTGGCTTGGTTACCAACCACTCTTTGAGCCAGGAAAGATACACTCTGCTGGGGATGGCAGCACAGGAACGCCATGTATGTAATCCATATCTGTTCAGGATCAGCTCCTAAATGGTTTGAGAGCTGGGAGATCAGAAGGCTACATAAAATGACGGCACGATTACTGCAGCCATTTACAACCTGAATAGGCGTTAGCTGTTGATATGTGGCTCACCTGAATGTCCTTTTTATTTTATTACAACAAACATTTCAGTTCTGTGAAACCACTTCATCCTGGACTGCTTAGTAAGCTTGTACAGAAAGCACCAGTTATCTGGTAAGATAAATATTATAAATATTTAAGTCTTTATAGGATTTACAATATGTATTTCTAGCTGTTGCTGTGTGTTAGTATCTACGTAGGTCATATACGCACCTAAGAGGACACATTCTGATACACTTTTTTTTTTCACAAGATGCTTTTAGAGCTTATGAAAACACAGCACATTAGAAACTGATGGAAATGAGATTTAATCCCCTATACAAGTAACATTTCTCATTACACTTTACCTATTCGATTTCTTTTTGCAAAATAGTTAATTTGGGAGAGGCTACAGTTTCTCTTTCACCTGATGGCTCATTCACTAAATAATTATCCATTGTGTGCCTACTATGTGTCGGGCACTGCACTGGAGATGAAGCCATGAACAGAACAGATAAAAATCTCTGCCCTCGTGGAGCTTCTATTCAGGGGTTACATAGTCTTGTTTTGGTTAGGCTTCACATACAATCTCCCTCTAGAACTTAGGTTCTATGAGAGGAGAGCAAAGTTCTCTCCTGCTCACAACTATATTCCATGTTTAGATCAGTACTAGTATAGAGCACATGTGGCCAATAATATCTGGTGAATGGATGCATACGTGGATAAATGCTTTTTTCTTTGTATGTGTTGGTTATGTACGGTCTATTTAGGAAACCTAAGAAGCAAAGTTCATTATACCCACTTCTATTTCTAGAAAAGCTGGGTGTTTTGATTCACAGCACCAGTATGTAGTTAATATGGAACCATCAGCTGATGTTTGGCAACTAATTTTTACCCGTATTTTCATTTTAGTGCTCAACTTCTATTTATAAGTATACCTAGAAGGGGAATCTAGAAAATAAATCCAAAGAATTCATGAAAATCAAACAACAAAAGGATAGAACAGAGAAGAATGATCTAGTAGCCTTCCCATAGACATAGCGGTTTAGTGTCATTTAAGCATCTCAACCTGAGGGGCACCTGTGTGGCTCAGTCGGTTAAGCATCTTGACTTCGGCCTAGGTCATGATCTCGCCGTTCTGGAGTTCAAGCCCCGCTTTGGGCTCTGTGCTGACAGCTCAGAGCCTGTAGTCTGCTTCAGATTCTGTGTCTCCCCCTCTTCTTCTGTCCCTCCCCCACTTGCACTCTGTCTCTCTCTCTCTCTCACAAAAATATATACACATTAAAAAAAAAACTAAAACGTGCCTCAACATTGAAAGCAGTGTGTTGAACTGAAAAGCGCCTGGAACGGAAACCTCAGGACAATCCAAGATGCATACCTCAAAGCTTACGGTGTTAAGTAGGCCTTGTCTATGGAGGAAAGCAAGTGGCCTAATATATTTTATTTTATTTAAAAATTTTTAATGTTTTTATTTTATTTTTGAGAGCGAGTGAGAGAGAGAGAGAGAGAGAGAGCGAGAGCGGGGGAGGGACAGAGAGAGAGGGAGATACAGAATCCGAAGCAGGCTCCAGGTTCTGAGCTGTCAGCACAGAGCCTGACACGGGGCTTGAATTCGTGGGACTGTGAGACCATAACCTTAGCTGAAGTCAGACACTTAGCCAGCTGAGCCACCCAGGCACCCTGCAAGTGCCCTAGTATCTTAACAGTGACCACTCCAAAAAGCACTGTGACCTCCTGGGAAGAGGCGTGTACTGGGTGCCAGAAAATATGGTTTTTAGCATACGATACATGAATATGTCTAATAATTTTGAAATTTAAAAATCTTGGGTCTTCATTTTCTTATTTGTAAAGTAAGTACTGGACTGGACCACATGTTCCCAAATGTTGGGCTCTCACAAACGCTGCACTGGCTGTTGG